GAAAAATCCTTTTTCAAAAAATTCTTATCAAATTTGGCCAAATAGGTCGAGTTGATAATTTTCAGCACCACCTCGTATATTCCTTTTGATCTCTTCAGTTCGTTTGTGCATTTATCTTTTCATCCATCGACAGTATCTAATATGGAGACTGTTTTCGCTATAATTGCGTCTATGATTTGCTGGTCACTAATTACGCGTAAACCTTTTGCTTTTGATGAAATATTAAATAACGCTTCTTTTATTCTCGGACTAAAACGTCAGCATTTTTATGGGCAAATAGCCAGTTGTCTCTTTACACACGCGACAACACTTTTTTGTCATTTCTTTGAAAATATACCTACAAAAGTAAACAGATTTATACGCAGATAAATGCAGAACGTCTGAAAATCCTGCTTCTTAACATCTGCAAAGAATTTATTATATATATATATATATATATATATATATATATATATATATATATATATATATATATATATCTTCCAATGTAAAAATGGTGTGACCTTAGAAGAGTATTTCTGTTTTTTGGAGGGGTATTTTGTTTTTGGTTTTGTTTTTGTTTTTTGCTTTTAAAAAAAAAAACTTATCGTCAGTGTAATATGGCGACTTTCTAAGCATAGCTTAGATGTGGCACAAGGCCGAAAGTAGGGGGGCCCCAGTGATGACCGAACTCACTAGTCAGTCGTAATTGTTCTAGCGAGACAAGGTTGCTAACCATTACACCACGTTGAGACGATGCCATGTAGTTTTAATTTCTAGGATGAGAAATAATCATTATTTACATTATTTACATTCAGAGTAATTTCCTAGAATTTGTTGTTATTATCACAACGTTGATATATATATATATATATATATATATATATATATATATATATATATATATGGGCTGATGAGCTTGGGAACGAAACTGGTTGGTCTGTTCTGTAAGTGTTATCATCTCTTATTTTTTATTTTTCATAATGCCTTTAGGAAATAATTTGTATCTATTCCTTGCAATATATATATATATATATATATATATATTTAGTTAAGTTACGGAAAACGTGGTAATCCGTGTGGGTAGGATGAAAGGAGGATGAAATCCTGAGAGCTGAATGTAAATTCAGAGCTAATAATTTAAAGAAAAACAGACGACTTTAAGGCTCCATTGTAATAGTTTATTTCACCAGAGACCTTTTAAAGTACCCTGGATCATCCGACATCACTTCCAAAAGGTGAAGTTTCACCTTTTGGAAGTGATGTCTGTGTGGCACCTTGCATTATTAGAAATATTCATAGAAATATGATTTAATTTTTTTCTTACTCGGTTTACTAAACAGGTTGTTGATTTTTTTAAAACGGAAAATAATTGAGTTGAAAATAATTCACTAAGATTGTACTTGGACGATCCTAAGGGAAGAAGAAGGAAGGGGAAAAAGAGAGGTCGAGAAATACAAAAAAGCGGTCATTAACAAAAACACGAGTCAGAAAGATATCTTAGCTAGCATGTTGACCGAATTTTTAAAGACAATTGGAAGAATAGAATTAGAAATAATAAAAAAGAAAGAAAGGGAAAAGACATGATATCAAAACGGGCCGCTTGATGAAAACCAGATATCGGTCAAAGCATCTAGCCTACTTTTTGCGTAGAAAGACACCTTATCAATTTGGATAAAGGGAAATTTTGGGAACAATGAAAACGAAATCTTAATCAGAAAAAAGTGCTTTTGGGTTGAGGGGAGTGACCGGTGGAACGGTATACAGATTCTGACCTGTTAAAATTAGAACCCCACATTGACGAGTGAAAGATGTTTTCAATTCAGATAAATTAAGATTTTCTGACTGCCGGGTCTGACAAAAAACAAGAGGTGGAAAAAACGATTGTCTCAGATCACAGATGGCGACAATATTCTTTCCTGAAGTCACAACTAAATAGCGGCGGTTTGGTTGACAGAGCCCAGGTGAGAGAAAGCCAAGATTGTCATTTTTCGTACGTGCAGAAAAGGCAAAATTGGATTTTGTTTTTTTAAAAACAAGAACGATGTAACCACGCCCGAAAGGAGGAGAAAGGATGCTCGATCAATAACAATTGGTCGGAAACGGTCACGTGATCTGCAGAAAAGAAGAGAAAGAAATGCCCGATCAGGAACCATTGGTCGAAAAACGGTCACCTGACATACGAGAGACTAAGAGAGATGGGGTGCACCTCCCCAAAAAAGGCACTGTGAGGAAGTAGGGGTGAAAACAATAGCGATAATGAGAAATCAAAATAATGCGACTTTTGGAATTATCGAGAAAACCCCTGACGCCGACAGACCCACCCCAGTTTGTTGCGGCGTCAATAAAAGCAGGACCCCAGTCGACAGAAATCAGTTGAGTTGGAGTGGAGTTGCAGCTGGACCGCGGGCAGGGATAGAGCCTGAACGCGGGCATCGGGCCCGATTCACTCGCCCCTTTGCGGGCAAAAGAATCCTCAGACAAGAAATCCTTCCAGCCCAAGTCGAAGACAGAAGAGTTCAGCCCCGGACGGCAGCGAGAAGAGATCACCTCGGACGACAGAGAGTTGCGGCTGAGTTGCGGCAAGAGATCCTTCCAGCCCAAGTCGAAGACAAGAGAACTTCCAGCCTAAGTCGACGAAGAAGAAGAAATACAACCCAAGTCGAAGACAAGAGAACTTCCAGCCCAAGTCGAAGACAAGAGAACTTCCAGCCTAAGTCGACGAAGAAGAAGAAATACAACTCAAGTCGAAGAGAAGAATCAACTGCGAATGATCGATAGAAATTAGCCCCAGTGTCGAACCAAACCACACTCCGACATACACAATTCTAAAGAGTAGGCAATTCGAAATCTTTAGGTTGTGTGATAGAAGCTTGTGCCATAGTCCACAGAGCGGGTTGGGAAATGAGAACAATTTTGTTTTTATGTAACGGACATTAAGATATAAAGGGTTGTTACCCATTTTTTTCATCAGCAATCTTTTTTTGTCTCGTGAGTTTATTTTTCTTTTATTTGTGTTTTGCCACCCCGTCGGACTCAACTTGTATCGGCCCCAATCCCTGCTGGTCCCGTCTGTCTAAGATCTAAACACAGCGTGGGTAGACAGACCGGAGATCGGTACAGTTGCTTTAGTGACCAAGTATTGGAAGCGAGTCGGGAAAGGCGAGGCTGGTGATCATCTGACCAAGGGGTTGGAGCGGCACGCTTGGACCCAGGAGGAGCGACCAGGAGGAGCGACGTCACCGTTGGCGCCGTAACCAAAGGATCCGACCCTGGGCCAGGTGTGTAACCGTCACACTGATGATCCAGGGTATTTTATATATATATAATGATAATATTAGTGATCAGTATGGATATTTCCAAAAGGATATAAATCCAGGGAGAGCTCTGTGTTAGAAACAGAGCAATAAAGCCTGCTATAAAATGCACATACACTAAAACTTCATAGGTAATAATTTATTTAATTGAGGTCGTAAAACGGTCCCAATTCATCAAACCTTTTGAATTGAAAGGTCTGATGAATTGGGGCCTTTTTACGAACCCATTGAAATAAATTATATTACCCCTTTGTTGAGGCATCGCTCCCTATACCTGACGTCACCGTAGAGTATTTCAAACATTCAGCTTTACCAAAAGAACTTAAACAAAACTGCAGAAACATGAACTCCGGATAGTTGATCCACAATTTCGGTCGCAATATACAATAACTTATTCGAAAATAACAATAAAAAAAACTTGTCAGTACTTTTTAATGAAACTTGTTTGAAGAAATACTTGTTGCCTAAATATACCTTATTCATATATATGACAAATTGGAAAAATTGTACCTGTGACGCGTTTCGTCCGTCAGGACTTCATCGGACTAAATTTTTGTGTTGATAGGACTACACATGCACACGACAGAGGCGTGCTGCAAATGTCTTCGTTTGGTACAATAGACTTGCTCCTTTACCCAACCCAAAGAAAAAAGTCACAGGGGGTTAAGTCAGGACTCCTGGCTGGCCACTCATACATAAAATAGGGAGTTACTTTTCAATCACCCTGTACTTTCGGTATATCACCACTGTTGGAGATTCCATTTATTATTTCTATAATTTTATCTATGTCGAAATCATCTAAGGTTGCCAGCATTTCTATTACAATTCCGTCTGGCCTTGCCACTTTGTTTCTGTCCAATTTGTCCAGTACTGATTCCATTTATGTTTTTAATATTTCTAGTCCGTCGATATTTATGTGTATTACCAGTTGTTCTCTTTCGTCGTGGAACAATTCTCCGATATATTTTTCCATCTCTGAAGTATTTTTCTTTTTCTAATATCATTGTTCCGATTTTGGATTTTATGTATCCTATTGATGAGCATGTCTTTTGTTGTGTTATTTCTCTTATTTTTTTATTCATATCTGCTTTATCTGTGATATTCTTTTTATTTCTGCACATTTTTCGTTGAGTCATTCCTCTTTAGCTTGTCTGCCTTTCTTCCTTATTTTGTGTGTCGTGTTCTATATTCTGTTCTGTGTTTTCGTATTGTTTTGTCTCTTTTTCATCATGTTGAGAATCGCATCTGTAATCCACTCATTTTTCTTCTTCGTTTATTTTCATTGGCTGATATTCGCATGTTCGCATAAAATTAAAAACATTGATGCATTATACCTTTATATGCATATGTGTGTGTGTGCCCGCGCGCATTGGTATGTATGCGTAATTGACCAAGATTTTTCATTTTTAAATATTGTTTGATCGATCCGTTTTCTACGGCTTATCAACCATTTGCAGAAAAAATTTTTAGTTGTAAGATTTTTTTTGTCGGGGGGACATATAATAATTATTTAGTGATACAAGTCTTAGCTGGAAAGGAAGAAAGGGGTGGAGTCTTACCTTTAGCTGGAGAGGAAAAAGAGGTGAAGTCATACCTTTCCCAAGAGTATTTGCACATATATAATGAACCAAACCGGGAATCGAACACCGCTCTCCGATTAACAATTCCGTGCAATTATCCATTACACTACCAGCACAGCCAAGTTTGCAAAACCTGGCATTCCTAAGGGGTCACCCATGTACATACTGACCAGGCTCGACATTGCTTAACTTCGGTGATAGTACGGGAACAGGTGTTTCAATATGATATGTCCGTAAGCATTTTTTTAAATATGATTTAATGCCAAATGAAAGAATTATTGATGTTTTTGCAATCTTTACAATTAAAGAATGAAAAATGGACACATAAATCCTTCATATTTTCAGATTGCTTCCTGTCCTGCGTCAGCCATATTTGTAGCCAATTTCAAGCCCTGATTTTCAGATAAATATTCATTGATATCATTGATTCCTTAAAATTATTAATGGTGAAATATTCCAGGTTGCACATTTTGTAAGACTTTTAAGAAAATACTTTCTCATATATTCACGCTTCATACTCGCCCTGTAAGATTGTGGAACCACAAGATGAATTGAACATAAAATCACTAAACCCTGTGGACCAATTGACTTGTCGGAAAATATATGGCGTATATACAGTAGCGTCCAAAACTAAGGGACAAAATTTTAAAACCTAATATTTGTTAGAAATAACAACTGTGAAAAGCTGAAATTTTGACAACTGGTAGTCGTTATCATCCATAATAACATACTAAAATTTGAATCATTTGCAAAGGATAGAAAAAGAATTATAACAATTATTTATTTATTTTTCAGGGCCAGCAGTAAATACTCTAATTTTATATCTCGTGTATGATGTGACCTCCTTAAAATTAGTTTCAAAAGTTTCATGATACGCGAATATATACGGTAGCTTATTGAAGAATTAATAAAATAATTTATTCCTCAATAAACGTTTATTTTTAAAAATATGTATCTACTTTAAAGCCAATGGGAATACAGTAAAGGTTGATAATATCTTTGATCAATGTCGATCGTCAATCAATCGACAAATCAACATTAAGAAACGTGCCCGTCATTTTGATGTTAAATTCCACAAACGAGTTTCTTTACCAATTCTGGTAAGGATAGAAGTTTTGCCGTAATTTGTCCAGATCACAACTCTTGGATACGTGTTGGTGATTAAATGATTTGATAAAGGAACACTGGAAAACGAACGACTTCTCAAGTAGTTTTACCGCCATTAAACAACAAACACGTAAATTATATGCGTCTACCTACACATATCCATATATATATATATATATATATATATATATATGTATATATATTCTGACAAGTTAATGGTTCTGTAATATCATAGCAATCATTTTTAGAAGTGACTTCATTAGAGTGTGCAGTGGCATCACGTTCCCTTTCTGATGCCCATTAGAGCCAGCCAGTGACAAGATTAAAGTTTGGCTTATTGGTGAGACGATAAAGTTAGAGTCATACTATTCTGATTAATTGTAAAAAGACGAAACTCGTCCTTGTTAGCAGTGCTATAATAGACGACGGAAAGAAAGTGTGAGACGGAAATTCGAAGATGCATGAGAATATTGAAAAATACTTCGCATATAACTGATCAAAGCTTTAAGGGATAAAAAAATAAAAATGCGCTAAGAAACGAATTCTGGGCGGCTATGTAATCTCTACTTTCCGATATGGCAGTGAATGCTTGACAGTTTTGTCACAAATGAAAGATGAGATCAACTGAGATGACGTTCTACCAACGAATGTTGACAAGACCATGAACCGAGTATGTGATAAATTCGCAAGTCATAATCAGATTGGGAATTACAAAGAAACTAGCAAAGAATCAAAAATAGTAAACTAAAATTATTGAAACACCCAATCAGGAAAGAAGGCCTGGAGAATTTAACACTTTGAAGGTGCATTGGAAGCAAGAAAAGCAAGGGAACTTGACATATTTGAGCAAATGGCGGTGGAAAAAAAACAAGATGGTGTCGTGTCCATAAAGAAATACATAAATAAAAAATTAATTATACTGTCACTGCGTCGTATCCATAAAAATGAATTATAGTTTCAAAAATAATTATAAAATAATTATAAGAATTATAATTATCATCAATTCACTCTTTCTACACCAATGAGAATCGACCCCACTTTTCTTTTTTACACATACAAACACGTAACATTCTCACTATCGGACAGACAGTCAACACGGACAGACCGTCAACACATGCGTCAACGAAAATTTCGGCTCTTTTTTTTCCTTTTTCAGACCATATTAATAACATGTATCTCTTAACATTCAAGTAAAATTCGATGTAAGAAAACTCGTTACACACATCCATAAAAAAACGAAAGACTGTATACAGGTTACGTATTCTTTATCCTATCATGCTATCGAATTCCGATCCCTATTTGATGTACACTTGACCCCAAACTCACAATTTTACTCAGTATCTCGTGACTCCAACACCACATAACTACCAGATACTAAATAATACTTCTTTTGCTGTTTACACGTCTTACTGTTTCTCATTTTTACGGGTATTTTTGTATATATAAATGTAATGGACTTTATAATTATTTACTCAGAGCTATAAGTCCCTTAAAGTGTGTACAGAAAGAAGAAAGTATTACTAAGAGCAAAAACATCAGAAATGATCGTCCACATTCTGAATATATCGATAAAGAAATTTGAAAAAAAGTTCACATGGGCATATCTATAAAGAATTATGGCTCTCTTCCCCAATTCTATTTTCTAAGACATTCATAGCACTTCACTTCCACATTTCCTCTTCTTTCTTTGTTGTAAAGGGTGTTTCATTAAGACGGATCAAAGTCAGCAGTCATTGATTACTCCAGCTATTATATAAATCGCTTTTTGCTTATTATCTATTTATGATAAAAATATTATGTGTTTATTATAACAGTAAAATGGAAATATCCCTTAGAAGAAAAAGATTAGCAACAAAATAAAAGATATATATATATATATATATTATTCGCCTCTTTTCCCCCAACTACGGATTAAATAGTAAGCCTTCTACCAGAAAAGAAAATATTATTTACAAAAAATTCTTACAATCTATCAACCATTACCCTCTACCTTAATTGGCCCTCGTTGTCTATCCTCCTTATCCTCATAATCTTCATTCCCTATCACGCACCTCATTCATTCCCTATCACTCACCTCATTCATCATAAGCTTAACAGTCACCCTCTACCTTGAGTGGCTCTCAAGCTTTGTATTAGTTGAACTTTATTATTAAAAAAAGTTGTAAGCTGATCGATTACTTTGACTTTTGAGTTATTATTATTATCAATATCACATGAGGCAGATTATCAATATCACATGAGGCAGATTTAGTGTTTCCTATTGGCAACAGCTTTATGAAATCCCCAATATTCACGTTCCTTTTTAATTCTCTCATATCCTCATAGATTCATTCCAACCAGATCTTGGCGGATATTTTCTGACCTTGATATCAGATAATCCAGCCGCGTATTAGGAATAGACTATCCTTTTTGCTCCAAATTTGAGATTTCATTTTCCTAAACCCGCTTCTTCAACCGTTAGCTAATCTGTTGTTATACACGCCTCCCCTCAGTGGTAATCTACCCTAACCACTTTATGACTCCCGGCTTGATGAAGAAAGGCGGTGACGCTTTTGGATTAGAAGAAAGCCAAAGAATTAGGGAAACTAAGTGGGGAATGTGAATGTTAAATTCGTTGAGGGATGCGTGTCGCTTTTCATACATTTCCATCGACATCAATGGCGCAGAAGATTTACAATGAAAGATATTTGCTCATTTTTATCCACGATAGGCACAGGATCACATTGCAGAGAGGTTCGAATTCAATTCTCTATTTATAACGTATGAAAGCACGTACGATACTCTGTCCCTGTCATCCGCCAACCAGGAGAGGTAACACAGTTTAGTGGATAAGGCGGCACTGCCATCCCTGGCGCCACCAGCAGCTTTTGCCACCAGATAGGGTATTGTTTTTGTATACACGTCAGTCTCTTGCGATTTTTTTTATAACTGCAAATGAAATTTTCAACGCGCTGGTGATGACTGCTATTAATGACGTAGAATGAAAGTTTAATTCGATGTTTTAAAAAGATGTATTTCACGTCGGAAGTAGTATTGTGTTGCGAGCATGGTTTTATTTAACTTTATTTATTTCGGATGTTAACCAGATGCCTGTTGAGCCGTGGTTTGGAGACGATGTGAAGCATGGTTTAGGTTCCTTCAATGCCTACCTTCAAAATAAAGGAAACGATTGACTGTCCAAGGAATCCACGTCACCCGACCTCAATAGGTAGCGCATTATATGTCTAGCCTTTTTCCATGGAGTAGGATCGCAGCGATTCGTAGCGGTTTTGATTTCGCGCCTCCTCCCTATTCTTCTCACATGGAACCGTTAATTCTATTAGAAAGACAGACTTCCATGCTACAATGTCAGGGTGTGCGTCTGTCTGAATGGTGAGTACCAGAAATTGCAGAGGTGTTCTAAGAAGAATTAACACCCTTCAGTCACAGCTTCCATTCAGTAGCATCATTACTGGGAATTACTTGGGTCTTCCACACAAGGCGTTCACTCTCCTTGTGAAAATGGATCTTAGGTTCTCTGGCCGTTACAGGCTGTTTGTTGGCTGCTTCACACTGTGTGCTGACTAAGTCCATGACCACTTCCAGCACTGTGTTGCGAGCATGCTTTTAGTTAACATTGACCAGATACAACTCGATGTCTGTTGAGCTGTGATCTGGAGACGATGTGAAGCCAGTGATGTCTATCTTCAAAAGGAAGGAAACGATTGACCATCCAAGGTATCCGATTAGTAGCACATGACATGTCAATCCCTTTTCCACGGCGTCGGATCGCAACGATTCGTAGCGGTATTTCTTTCTCTCGTACGCCTCCTCCCTGTTCTCCTCCAGTGGAATCGCTATATTAAAGCTATGTAAGATTTGCCGATCGTCAGCACCAAGTGCTAAATAGACATGAATATATGTTATTGATATAATGGAATATGCGTACAACTGTGTTCCCCCTCACTGGAATATGATTGGCTGGTGTCCGTCATAAATACCGACGGGCGTGTAGCAGAGTCAAAGAGAGCCTTAGTCTGAGAGCTAAGTCTATAACGACGCCCATTGGACTACGCCATTGATCTACACTTCTTACCTGCGACTACGACGCGTACCAGTCGATTACTGCTACCGTATTCTACTTGGTTAT